CGAGAGAGAGAGAATTTTTTTTTATTTGACATAGTCTTATGCGTGCTGCTGTAAAATCTGCCGCTCCTGTTTGCAACCGCCCGAATTTCTTTTTAAGATTGCAAAACAGAATAAAGATTTTATCCTATCTGTATTTTTACATAACACAATAAGTATATAAGTATATATAAGTATATTTTGTGAAATGATTGTTCAAGTTACTGCAAAAAGGGTGTGACAAAAATTGCAAAATCCCACTGCTATTATTTATTACACACATTAGTTTGAAATGTTAGATTTTAGCAACGATCATGGAAGTTGACCCATTTGCTTTCGCTAGTCACATCAAATGATGCACGTTGGCAGGCCAGATCTGCTCCCCCCCCCCCCCCTTGCGTTTGACACCTTTTCGTGCTATACCTGGTTATTAAAAAAATAGGTGAGTGAGACAAGAAGGCTGTGGTGATGAAGGGAGCTGTATGAGGGGAGGGGTGTGGGGTGTAGCCTTCTGAACGAAAATAATATACAAAGGAGAATAGTTGTCGGGCTTTGCGTGGTGTGCGTTTGATTTACATGGTGTCACGCGGTCAGTCCACAACAAGGCAAGAGAACCCAGTCGGTCAACAACAGGGATGGAGAACCCGAGGGCATAGCGACGCTTTCCTTCGCAGATGCATCTTTGTGAGAGCATCCATTTCACGGCGTTGACAATTTGAAGAAGCGCTGCTCATTTCTCCGGGGACGTTGCCTTTTCTCTCCTCCTCCGACCTCAGAAGTCAGTTTCCTCGAGCAAGTGACGCTCTCCTTCTCTTCGTCTGCACACACTCCGAGTAACACACACGCACACAGACTCGCAGTGTTTCATAACAAGCCTGTTTACTTGGCGAGAGAGAAAAGCTCTGACGCCAATTCGAGCAGGCATCTTGCATCTTGCTTTGCCGAGTGGAATTTGCGGACCGCAGCGCTAAGACGCCAACAAGGAATACAAGAACGTTTCAAGTTATCCCTGGAACTTGCGCAGTTGATAGGGAAAAAAATGGGAATTTGTGGCTCTTTGACGGTGACTGGGAAATGCCTCGTCGTCCTCGGACTTAAATTGTTATTTCTGGTACCTGCGGGAGTTCCGATCAGAAGCGGGGATTCTGTATCAAAGGACAACATTACCGTGAGACAAGGGGACAGCGCTGTGTTAAAGTAAGTCCGTTGTCCGTCGTGCCATTACATTGGTCATGATGAGCGCCTGCGTCGTGGATGGCCGCTGTCATGTGCTGTCACATCATGCGTTAGCTATGACAGCTTTTCGTCGTCCTCCTTTAGAGTTATGAACGATATTCCCAACGTACTCAAATAAACATTTTTTTTTTAATATGAACGATGGCGCTGAATGTAACATTGGAAAGTTCGGGCACAAAGGACAGAACTCGGTTTTCAGCCTTCCTTGTTCATTGCCCTTGAATGTTATTGATCGGTTGGTTAATGTCTTGGTGAGGGTGCAAGGAGGAGCTGAGATACCCAAACTAGCATACAGCACGGGTGGTCTTCAAATCGATTTGTGTGAGTGATACAAATATACACTTCGATTTAAATTTAAAGGGTTGTTTGACTGGTCAAGGCAGCAGTGATTCAAAACGTTTTAAATTGGAAGGACTTAGTTCATCTATATTTTAACGAGTCATAAATGTTGGCATGATTTCCCAAGGGGATTCTGTTAAATTAAGCATACTGTATATTAACCCTATGATTAAATGTTAACAGTGCTATCTTTTGTTTAATCACAACAATCTCCTTTGGCTTTGTGTGTTTTGCATGTGATACTTTTTTTTTGACCCACCATCAAAGATAGACTTTACAGTAGATGGAATCATTAAACCAGTTATGTCCTTGCGGTTATGTATGTCGTGTTCTGTTGAAGAAAAAAAAAAATACACCGTAATTGCAGTGGGTATCAAAAGTCAACACACCCCTGATTACACTCCAGTTCTTTGTAATACAGTATACACACTCCCGTTTAAGGATTTAAAAAAAAAAAAAAAAAAAAAAAAACGAAAGAGACTAAAATACATAATTTTAAAACATTTTTTTCTTCTATTGATATGACCTTATACCTGTACAATTTAATTTGGGGGGAAAAAAGTCAAGAGGGGAAATAAAAACGATTAGTTTTTTTGTTTGTTTGTTGATTTGTTTGTTGGATTCCTAGCAGAAGCCTAAATATCTTGTGCTAACACTGACTTCTACTTCGAATTTCCCTCTACCTTGACTAAGATTCACACTGCAGAGTACAATGCAAAATTTGTAGTTTTTGTTGAATCTGAACAAAAACTAGGGTTAAGCATTAATTATGGTGACCAGTGAAAAACAATGATCACGAGTGTGGGATAGTTTTGATCTTAGACCACCAAATAAGGTTTGTGGAAACCGTCTTACCATGTGAACACATATTTTTAAAAGCCGGAAAATAATGAGTATGAAGAGCAGCCACCTAAAACCTAATTTGAAGAAACAAAATTCAAACAAAAACTAACGACTACTACAACTATATCCCTAATTTTGCAGATTCTGTTTATAAGTACTCCCGTTGTAATGATGCACACCTGTCCACCATATTCACTTTGTGAAAAAAACCAAAACTTTTTGATGCCAACTTTGTCTATTTAAATTAAGACAGTGTCCTTCAAATAATACATTGATTGACACCATATTTAATTCACTTGTGAGTGAATGTTTAACTCTGCACTCGTCCACTTGATGTCCCTAATGTTGCTTTCACCGAAGCACCAAAGCTTCGAATCTGTTTGGTTCCCAGTGACTTCTGGTGGCTGTGCAACAGAGCCACTTCAGACTTCGCATGCACATTTCAGTCAGTCAGCATCTTCAACATTGTTTTGTGCACACCTACATTTCTTGAAGCGTTTCCATGTATACAAGATTTATTTTTTTGATCAATTAAGCCGGCTCTGTTTCCATGTTGAGATGGCTTTAGTAAGCAAAAAAAACAAAACAAAAAAATGAAGGAAAGCCTGCTAGACGGGCAGACTTCATTTTTGGTAAATCAGAGGCACTTTAAATGGGAGCAAGTATTTGCTGATTCCCATTTAAGATGATTTTGAATGTGATGGGTTCATTCTGAAGAACTCCATCCCCAGTTATAACACAGGCTTGCGTCTCAGTTGTCTCAAAAATGCTTTCAATTGTACAGGTTATAGGACACAATTAATGATGGGGACATTGAAAAAAAAAATATTTATCTCAGGCGGCCTGGTGGGCGACTGGTGAGCGTGTCAGCCTCACAGTGTAGAGGTGCAGGGTTCGATTCCGGCTCCGGCCTTCCTGCGTGGAGTTTGCATGTTCTCCCTGTGCCTGTGTGGGTTTTCTCCAGGTACTCCAGTTTCCTCCCGCATTCCAAAAACATGCATGACAGGTTAATGGAACACTCTAAATCAGGGGTCCCCAACCTTTTTTGCCTCACGGACCGGTTTAATGCCAGACAATATTTTCATGGACCGGCCTTTAAAGGCCAGATAAATACAACACAATAATATGATATGACCGGCATGAAAACTGTGGTACAGTGAAACTCCTCTACAACGAAATCATGTTTGCAGCAAGAAATTTTTCACAACAGGGGTTTTTTTCACTGGAGCAAATTTGATCTCATATGTAAGCACACACACGCCCACACACACACACACACACACACACACACACACACACACACACACACACACACAAACGTATGTGTACACGCACACACATACATCTGTGTACTCTATTTTTATTCCAATAGTGCATAAGTATGAACACACAATTATTTGACACTTCATATTGTCAGTGTAGAAAGAAAAAAAGGGAAAGAAATTGCAAAATTTACGATCAGCATTCACTTTCACTTACATCAATTTCTTGGATAATGTCTTTTATTTTACTTTTACCCTCTCTTCCAGCATCAGAGCTCTTCTTGTCTGAGCTGTTTGACATCCAAAGGTCCATTTTGTAGCCATTTTAGCAATGCAACGTCCATCCTCGTCTGAATCTAACAATAACAAATACTTCCTGGACTACTGCCCATGTGTAAACCAGTGTGGTAGTTGCTGTTGCCGTTTCGGAAAGAAGCAGTAGAGGTCGCTGTTGGATTAGACTTCGTTGTAGTGAATCTCATCGCAAGGCAAGAGCAGAGAAAAAGATTTCGTACAACGCAACAGGGGGGTTTTCGTCATACGGGGGGCAGGAGAATGGTAATTGTGTTAATGCATGAAGATTTTTTCACATAAGGGGGTATTTTCGCCCATGTAGGTTTCGTTCTAGAGGAGTTTCACTGTACTTTCGAAACACAATAATAAACACGAATCACGACACGAGGAACGTCCTGTCTGGCCGCAACACTCTCTGGTCGCTATGGTAATGTTTACACGTGCCTTCAAAATAAGCCACAAATACAAAGTGCATGAAAAATACGACTCACCATCGTCGCATATTATGCAGAGTGGGCTTGGTGCGTGGGAATCTCCCGTTGTGATCAATACGTATTTTAAGTAGGACTCCTGACACTGTCTATTAAATGCAGCCTTCTTTTTGTTGAAAGTCGTAGGCTCCTCCTCTGTCTCCTGGGTGGGCCTTTTCCCCTTCCCAAAGAAACTTTTCAAACACCTTTCTTTTTTCATCAGTTTGCTAGCTCCTGGGTTTCATTTTAGCAGTAACCTATCACATGACTGAGAAGCGCGCCTTCACCTGCTCAATAGTGACATATTGTAGATGGATGTAACAGAGGATCCGGTAGTTTTTCAAAATAAAACATTTTCAGATTCCGAAATGAATAAAACGGAAGTAATGTTAAGTTATGTATTCTTTCTGTGTGGCCTGATACCAAATGACCCACGGACCGGTATCGGTCCGCAGCCTGGGCGTTGGGGACCTCTGCTCTCAATTGTCCCTCGGTGTGAGTGTGAGAGTGAATGGTTATTTGTCTCTGTGTGCCCTGCGATCGGCCGGCAACCAATTCAGGGTGTCCCCCGCCAACTACTCGAAGACGGCTGGGAAAGGCTCCAGCACGCCCGGCGACCCTTGTGAGGATAATCGGATCAGAAAATGGATGGATGGATGGATGATTTATCTCTAACACTCAAAATTGTCCTTAGGTGTGATTGTGAGCGTGACCGCGACCCTTGTGAGGATAAGCCGATTAGAAAATGGATGGATGGATGGAATTGTCTCTGTCACAAAAGCTTATCATTTGAACAGATATGTAAAATTGTCATGTCCACTCCATCTGGATTTATTCAAACATATACACCTATATAAAGTACACACACTTCATCACACACACATCCAGGCAACTGTGTTCACTCATAGTTTAATTTCATGCAGTCATTCAGCCAATTTATTTGGATTGTAAGACATTTCTGACAGCAATTTAATGGGGCTACTGAATTAACCGAAACTATAACAATGTCTGCCAAATGGAAGTTCACTGTCAGACATGCCTTTTGTTCTACCAGTTTGCCACACAGAATTCATGAGATCAGTTGTTACAATACAATACATCCTGATTTATATAGCGTACAAAGTGCTTGACAAAACAGTTAGCATAAAGTAATATACTAAACGCAACATATAACATAAAAATAGAGACAGTCATGCAATCTTAACCACTTTTCCCTCATCTGCTTTGTTGTTTGAAGCAGTTCTAGATGAAAGAGGAGAAAATCAAAGTGTCCTTTCACCAGTGGATCAGAGATGTCATGCTCAAAATGTGCACATGTAGTTTCAAAGTAAATAAAAAGCTGTAGCGTCCATTGATGAAAAAAAGAGATTGGTTCACTTCTCCTGTCCCATGTAAATCCATTTCAATTCCTCGCAGCGACTCTCAGTTCCAAATACGCATCGGTGCTCCGTGCAGACTCTCCTCTCTTTCTCATTCTCAACTTCAGCATCCGTCCATCCAGCCGCACTTACGCAGACTGTCCAACAGCGCTGACTTCTCCACTGAACAAAACGGGGCTGTGAAAAATGCTGCCCATTACAGGCGCAAAAAAAATCAAGTGCCCCGGGGCACTTGTTTTTTGCTGTCCAGCACCGACAGTCAAATGTGACCGACATTCCTCCCAATCAAAATCAGTGCTGGTACACGCGTGCTGCCGAGAAGGCGCAACCACCAAGCATAGATTCTTCTCCTCTGACGAATGTCGTGGCCAAAA